CACTGGCCCTCATATGTGGGATCCAAACCGGGGCCCTCTGGCGTCCCAAGCCAGTTCTTAACCATCGCGCCACTCGGCCGGCCCTGCGTTTTATTTATTTTTTATTTTTATTTTTTCATGCGGGAGTCGAACCGGCAACCGTGCTGTTCAGAGTTCATGCTCTACCCACTGAGCCATCTGGGCGGCAGCTCAGCTCAAGGTGCCAAGTTAAGCCCCACCCATCGAACAGGCAATCTTATCATTAGGAGCACGTGCTCTCACCAGCTGAGCCATCCTGCCACCTGTTGGCAGCTCAGCAGCAGCTCAGCTCAGGCACAGCTCGCTGGCCCATGTGGAAATTGAACCAGCGACCCTGTTGCTCAGAGCTTGTGCTCTTAAGCAAATTCTTAACCAACTGAGCCACTCGACCAGCCCAACATGAGCATTTTAAAGGAAGCTGTTTGTAATCTAATGATAAGACTAATGGTGAAAGTTCCTAAGGAAATTTGGAGAGGCCAGAATTTTTAAATCACCCTTCCAATTATACTAATAACCTCCTTAAAGGATTGGTGCAGTGGCCCTCCTTCCCTAGGCCTGGGCCCCAGTGCGGCCTCAGGAACACCCATCAACATTTTGAAACTTAGCAGACAATACAATTGGCAGTGCCTTTGCTGACACGGAAGCCATCAGCCCCCATCACAGACCTGCCCTAAGATTTCAGAGAACCCAACGCTTTGAAGACAGTCTTCTTCCATGTTTTCTTCAGGGACTGCACCTCCCTGCACTTCCTTTCCACTGGTTTTAAATCTAACATCCTAGGCAAGCTGAACCTGGGGTGGGGGCAAACCTAGACAACCCCAGTTCCTAAGCTTCCCTCTAGATCGCTCTTTGTCAGCTCCACCACTGCCATTTGCCTTGTCCTACATCTCAGAGTTGGCTTAGCAGAGAACTTGGGGGCACATCCTCATCACATGAGCCCATGCATGTGGCATAAGACTAAGAAGATCTCAGCACAACTTTGGGCTCAACGGCTTTGGGAATTGGGAGTGGGACTCTATCGTCTCTGCAAGGTGGAAGGCTGGGGAGAACAGAATGCCTATTCCCAAATCCTCCAAATAATCTCTCGTTATCGGGGAGACTCTTTGATAATTTTGG